AGACAAAAATGTCTGCACACACAAATGGAGAGATGTCTCTACATAATGCCCCGCATACCATGTTCCAAATAGCGTGACGGCAATTTTTACAGGAAATGCTGAGGGTATATAATCAGATATTGTTGGACAACTTCTTACCCTGTCTGCAGGCTTGCTCTGAGTCGCATGCGAGTCGGAGCCATGGTGGGAGCTGTTGTTCTGAGAGTTCTCCTGAGGAGAGCCGCTGGTCCCTGCAACACAGCCATTTATCAAGTCACAGAAAATACACAATGTTCTGCAGAGGACTGAATCTTCAGTGGGGATGGGGATCGAGACCCGCTTCTATAAGGACCCGGTTCCAAATGGCTACAAGTCCTCACATAAATCGATTACTAAAAATCATCTATGCAAATTCTTTGCATCAAGGCTTCGTTTAATCCGTATAACTATATACAACCATGCAGCGCACTGTGTTTGCGCAGATGATTGTTGCTGTCGCGTTTTAGAGAGTTGCAAAGACGAGACCAGAGAAAACAACAGAAAGTTAAGGATCATTTCAAGCAGAAACAAAATGAAAACTGTTGTAAAAACTGAACTAGCCTAGCACAATAACAACAACTACAAGTCATTGTTTATCCTGGGATCAAATGAAAAGAGAAAACAAGATCAATCATCTGATCGTATGCGGCTTCCATCATTAGGGAAACTGCACTTGGAGTTGATTGACATTGTGGCATCTACACCCAGTTAATCAGTTGTCTCGCTCCAACAGATTGGTACTCTCGAAAATGGTATCAATACCAATAAAAACGAACGATCCCCATCCCTAATCCTCAGCTGCCAAATGAGAAACACTTTGGTTGTGGCTGTTTTAGGTTGGCTTTAACTACATTTGAGCAGTAATGGCTATATTGTGATCTGAAGGCAGTCAGATGGCAAAATAATCTAAATCTTTCCATCTTTCTCTCCATGACAGTTTCTATATTAATGTTTTGCTTTTCATCAAACTCTGCACGCACTCAAAAGTCACATGGGTTGACATATGACTGAATTTTATGTCAGAGATCAAACTAAAGAAGAATGCTAAAATTAACCGTGGAGACATTGATATCCATTAGATGACTCTGTATTTGTCATTTAACAGCATCACTCACAGTAAGCTGAGGCTGACAGCTGTTAGTCTGCCTGCAGCCACAAGCGTCTAATGCAGGAACGAGATGCTGCCTGTTTCTTTATAACAACCTTTAAGACAGAACTTAAAATTGCATGCATGTGTAAGACCACCAGATCCGGGCTTACCATTTTTCCCTCTAACTGTGTGAGAGGTTTTTGCCTTGCCATGTCCTGCGCCGTCTCCATGTCTACTGACAGGACTTTCGTCCGAGCGCCGCAGCATCTTGTAAGGGGGCGTAGGGTCCGATGAGCCATCACGCACCTTGTCGTAACGGTGAAGGCTGCTGGACTGGCTCTTTGGCTGAGATTTATGGGTCTAGATTGAATAAAGCACGGCAGAAAGACTTGGATGTGGATGTGCTCAAGGTTACACTGATGTCATTTTCCCCACGCAGCTCATACCATCATTACATTTTCTGGAAAATAGCGCATTAAGCAAGCTTCGAGGATTAAGTGCAACACCACTCAGATAAATACCACAGTGAAAACAGAACTGATGAGCTCAAAAATGAATAAATTCCAGCTCAGAGTGGGAGTGGTTGAATGAAACACAGAATATTTTGACTCATGGAGCATGAGATGTTTTGATTCAACTAGATACTGTCACACATTTTTGCTTCCAAAAGAAACATATCTGTTACATAGTATATTAGCTTTAGCATTAAAATAGCTTCTTCAACGGCAAGGGTTTGCTCAATTTATTATTATTATTAATATATAATATATTATTTGTTTTATCATTTAGTAGTAAATTGTATTCTAACCTCAAGAGTTGAACTACATCATTACACATATGGATTCTGTTTTATATAAACTCCAAAACTGTGGCTGTCTAGTTTTTGTAATATTTTCCAAATTTTGTTTAAATAATATTACCAGTGTGAGATGTGCCTTTTTTAAATTAATACATTACAATTTGAGTGTACAGCCAATCTTTCCTGCCTTACATTGACTGAATGTAGCCATTTAAAAACTACATTCAGCTACACTGACGCACTAATGTATTGAATTTAAGTGTAAAATGTAGCCAGCTTCATAAGGACATTACACAAACTGCCACAGCAGTATGTCCTATGGGAAGTTGTGTAGCAGCCATGTGGATTAATGTAAATAAGAAATGTTAGAGTTTATTTTGTTCCACAGTATCATTAATGTTATTGGAAGTTTAACTGGGGCTGTGTTAGTGAGATCTGCCTCACAGCACAGATTGGAAAACATAGCTAATTTTAATTATGGATGGCCTCTCCTAAATCACCATTTGAACATTTGAGTTGACCATTTTAATGGAAAAACTCTGTATTACACCTCGATTAGCTAACGTTACGTTAGTGGAGAGTATTGACAGGAGACTGATCACAGATCGAACATGTCATACCTGATAGGATTGTGAATCCCTTCTGTCGTTGCACCTGTGAAGACACATAAAACAAACGATATCATTAGACATTTAGCTCTTTACGGTTAGGTTTCTAAGCTTAGCAACACACTTTGAACATATTTAGCTAATTAGCTGCCGTTAGCCAAGTTAGCTCGTTTCGCCACCTTAGCAACAGCTGTTTGCTCATCGTGTCACTAGTAGAAAATAACCGATAATGTTCAAGATGTATCGTACATAATATAATTTATACGCGGGGTTTACCACGTACATGTTAGTTAGCTAGCGTTGATTAGCCAAATTACAGGAATAGCTAATTGCAGGCGAAGTGTGAACGCTAGCCGATAGCACTGGTAGCTCAACGGACACACGCAAACACGAATAACCAGCGCACGAATATAAAAAACGCGTCAACCCTGAGCATTGTTCGCTAAATGTTAACGTCTGTGCTTGATTTACCCATCGCTGACTCTTGCTGGTTTCCTTGCATACATCACCATCAAGGCCGTGGTGATGTATGTGTGTGTGTGAGGGGGAACCGTGGCCTCCTGTCTGTCTGTCTGCTCTCACACTTCTCTTTTCTTCTGCTTCCTGATATCTACTCTCTCTCTCTCTCTCTCTATCCGGCCACACTGGTACCTACAAGCCGTGCACCGAGCACCAGCACTGCATAGCGGGTGGTCTTTGTTAAAAACCACCCTCAGTGCATCCTCTGGCATGTAGTTACGGTAGGCGCTTGGCTTGGCCGATATACGCTAAGCGAAAAGCAGCAGTCAGGAGGAAACGGAGAAGACGGACTTCTCGGTAATGTTTAGCTAGGAAATGGATTTCCGGTGTCACCTTTCAAAATATAAGTGCAGTTATCGAATATATAAATTTAGTAAATAATTTGTTTGTTAACTTGTTTTACCTTTATACTGTACTGTACATCGCCGTAATGTTACAGTCAAACTCAGGACGAAATAGACAAAAATAAGGAAAATCCGCTGTAACAATGCCACAGTTTAAAAGGATAAGCATCTTGTCTGTGCCGGGTAGGTATTATTGAGTAGAGCTGTCATCGTTGGAAAATACGGAAAATAATACTAACGTTAGTTAGTTATGACAAGTCGTTTCCAATTAAGGAAACTTCCTTGTACGCAGATTATATCAAGTCATATTTTACGTTAAATTCACAAATAATTCGTGTTATAACGAATAAAGAACGGAAATATGTTTGTTTTTTTAAATAAAATGCAGGAAGAAGTGGCAACCAGACTTGCCGTTATTACTTTTTTTTTTATCATTTTATAGCAATATCACCTTATCATGTCCAAGCAGAACGATACAAACTACACGCCCTTGTTATAAAAACTAATGTGAGATATTTTCTTCCCACTGTGGCAGTTTGAACACAGATTGCGCTGTTATTTTGAAATAAGTAGCTTCATTTCCGGTATTAGCCTAGCTGTCTCTGGATAACGTGACGCAGCTGAAAACGAAGCTAGATGGTGCTGTGTACTCCTCCTACGAGTTCACATCTCGTTGGCTGGCCATTTTCTGTGACACACCCACGGTCTATCGGCTAGTCTGGTCTGTTGTCTTCACACATTAATACCAGAGAGACTTTGCCCTCCTTGAACAGCACTACCTTTTTCTCCTGGAGACTTTCATTGGTTTGTGTATAAAGAGGCTGTAACTAATGTAACTCTGGTTCTCTGGTCAGTGCAAGCATAACATTTCTTGTATTTCTGCATTTATTCCACACTAGACCATATATTGTGGTCCCATAAGTGTACATTTTCGGTAAGCCTCCCCCACAGAGAGGTCAGAGGTCAGGGTGATAGAGCAGCTTCTGTACTGGATAAGTATTCATCATTGCCCTGCGCAGGCTCATGCCCCTTATATAGACTTGAACCCAATGAATCGGGGTAATTGGATTTATACTGGGACATGCATCACCCAAAATCACCCCTCCTGTGATTGTTGAGGCTGATGCACTCCCCTTAATACATACCTTGGTTTTAGTTGTTACCTTAAAACCATGAACACCCATGTATTGTGAGACCAGAGAGAGAGGTGTGAAATTGGTCTTTTGTAGAGAAGAAAAATGAAATAAAGAGAGCACTGGAATATGAAACTGACCTCAGATTTAGTTCAAATCAGTGTGGATGCACTCAGAGTCATATGTGGGAAGTGGACACCCCATGCTCTTTGATTGCTGTATTGATTTCCCGCTGGCATGATTTAGGTCAGACCTGACACATATTGACTAGATAAGAGACTGTCTCTTTTACAATCCGGCCAGTCGAACACTATACAGCCTCTCTCTACAAGTGGAGGTTCAAATGCAGCTCATACTCTTTAGATATTAAGCGATATGGCCTGCCTGAACCGGGCCTAATGGAGTGGACAGTCTCTGGTGAGTGCAGTTTAAGTTCTGCTTGGTTGTGCTGGTTTCCTCGACTTAAGATGTGTTGGTGTGGACATCAACATGTGTATAACGCTCGTAATCTGTAAGGTCCAAACTGGTTTCATTTTTGCAAAATATTTAAATTTATTATCATCTTAAAATATTGTGTGGATATTGTGTTTCTCCAGCCATGCTGATTGAGGGATACTGGAATATATTTCTTTACAGGCCTAAATTCTGTTATCTAACGAGTGCGTTTCTGTTGAACCGATCCTCAGGATTTGTTTATCTTAGTTAAATTATCTTAAATGAATCCAAATCACAATATGAGAGAAAGTAAACATGAATTAATTTGAGCAGAGGGCGTCCAGTACTGTGAGTTTTGTTTTCATCTTTTGTTTGAGGTTATTTGAGGTAATATCAAGTTTAATGTCATAAAAAAGAACTGACTAATAGTTATTGACATAGCTGTGTGGTTAGTGGAACAGTGTATTACTGTAATGTTGAAATATCTTATACCAACATTAGGGGGCAGTAATATCTCATAAGAAGCATCTTTTACATACCATGTGAAAAAAATGCATTTCTTTCCTTTCTCTAATAATTTCTCTTTTTCTGTCACACTGGTTTCCATCTTGGCTGATAGAAACAAAGGAAATCTGGAGCAACTAACCGAGTATGAATATAAGGGTTTTAATATTTGTTGAATTTTTCTGTTCTTCTCTCAGAGTGAGGAGGATGCTGAGCCGAACAGAACACAGAGGTATGTCCAAAGTGTAGCAGGTTAACACATTAATGTTCTTTTCACCTCGCTTACCCTGCCTTTATAGATAAAATACTCGTGCATAACTGGAAAATAAAAGCAGTTAATCTTTTAAAAGCATCACACCGTCCATTTAACATTTGACCTCGCTCTTTGGGTTCTTGACCTCACCTCATAACATTCAAAACAGGCACTGTAAATTAATAACAGGTGCAGGCGGAGTGCTTATTGACGTGTGTGTGTGTGTGTGTGTGTGTGTGTGTGTGTGTGTTGTTGTGTTGTGTTGTGAAATTGCGTGGGCTCGTGTCCGTGCTTCCTCCGCAGGCCGTGTCTTAGGCTGCTTGTTCATCATGGATGTCATGGAACAGAGTCTAAAATACTAGACAGATGAGGAGGACTACAGGTTTCTCCCCACTAGCTAATGCTGATGGAGAAGAACTTCACCTGCTTCTTTAAGGGTGAACCACACCTGTGGTTAGTGATTCGTGCTTGTTTTCCCCACTCATTTCGTGTGCAGCATCTGTTTTTAAAGCCTTGTTAAGAGCTTTTGTCTGCGGTTAAAACACAGAGGTGGTTTTAAATACTCTCCTACTTTTTTTTAGTGTATATATTAATACCAGTATTAAGAATACTCCACTGCAGGTAGTCCTGCATTTGAATTGTTACTTAAGTAAAAGACAGAAGTTTATCAGGAAAAATACTTAAATTTCTGTTCTATGTTAGTACTATATCAGGAAGAATGGTATAGTTCCTGTCAGTGTTAGATTATTATATATTATAATAATTATTATTATTAATGCAATAATATGGAAGTGGCACTTGCAGCTGGTCGGGGTGTAGCTACATTTAACTTTTTTTGCAGTACATAATGATATAACAATGTATCATATTTTATTAGTTTAATATTTATTAATAATATTAAACAATTTTATTTAAGATGGTGAGAGACTTAGTGTGGAAAATATTTAGTAACTAGTAAGTCAAGTACAAGTACAGAAAAATTATAATTTAATGAATGAACTTAAAGTAGTAAAGTACCTGGAAAATTCAGTTTCACTTAAACTGATGCTTTAAATCTTAACATTTACTATTTGGATTAGTACTAACAGTAGAAGTTGCAGTAAGTGTATTTTACTGCAGAGGAAACCTTTATTATGATACTTTTCCTGACAGATCCACGAGCGACTGAAGCGTTTTGAGAAGCGAAGCCCCATCCCCGTCCAAGAGCACGCAGCAAGTCTGGCCTCAGACGTAAGCATCTCTCCCCAAACATCTTTTGCAGATAGACACGCTGCTGAGGATGGCAGTTTGACAGCAGAGGGAGCGGGGAAGGTTTTTCATTGTTCAAATTGTTCCCTCTGATATACAGATGACTTTCCTGTCACACAGAAGCATGAGTGGAACGTACATTCCTTCCTATGAGCACTGAATTATGAAATGTTATCTCAAAACTCTGTCACCTTGGATATTAGCGCCTGAAAAGCTGTTTGACAGCAGATATCATTTTGTATCTGTATGCCAGGAGTTAGGTCACTGAGGACAGTGAAAGGCTGCTAAAATCATTTTGTGTGTAGTCTAATGTTTCGTGTTGGAGGAATACAATTAATTTCAGATTTAAGATGAATTGACGGAGAGCACTCCCACTACGGTTGTGACTCAAAACAGCACGACCAGTCTCTATTCTCTTCTGATGTGCATCATATTATATATACCAGTCCTCTTCATTCCTGTTGCCAACCCATCATTCCTATATTTCCATTTCATCCCACTACCCTTTTTGTACCATTTTGATGCGTTCCACCTTCATTTCCTGATTTCCCCCCTCTTGTTCCTTACAAGGATGTTCTTTTTACACTTTTCCCTTACTCTATGCTTCCATCTTTTCTTCTCTCCATCCCCAAACCACACTCTCCTTCCATTATCTCTATTCTTCCCCTTTCTCTCCATTTGCTTTCCTTTATCTTCTCCCTGCTGTATACCCTACATATTGTAATTCCTGCCATGTTTCCATACTGTCTATCTACCCCTATCCTCTCCCCCACACTCCTCTCCATCTCCTTCTCTTCACTCCCTTTGCCTCAGATTCGGTTCGACAGCCACTCTCCGCCTGGCTTAAATCATCAGGACCTACTGGAAGGGCCAAACCATGGGTCTGTTTCCCCTCAGAGAGGCTTCTGTTTGCTCACAGTGGAAACTAATGACCTTCATGCATTGTGTCTCTGGAGTGTGCCTCGACATCTTGAAGCAGTAGAAGTCATTACAGTAATATGCTTGACAAGACGGGCGACTGCACACAGTCACTCTCCGCCTCTCCACTTGCTGCTGACGGTCAAGGCTGTTCTGTTTTAGCTGTCGCCGCAGCTGTCGTGTAGCCTTGAACATTCGGGACCTTTTTTCCAACAGTGGCTAAAAGACACAAACCAAAACAGGAACACAGACAAATAGTTAACATCAAGAAGAGAAAAGCAAAGCGCCATATGAAAGTGCAGAAATGAGGACAGTACTGATGATGTGTCACTGCAGTTAAATTCCATCTATCTGCTCATTTCTCTGTCTCTCTTGGCTAGTACAGCGTAGACTTCAGTAAAACTCACCCAGGCCATGATATAAATGCATACCTCTAATTATAAAAAATATATCCTGCCTCTCCTTGTCTTTTTCTCTGCTTCCAGTTGGCAGAGGAGCTGATATACCAAGGCTGGAGCGATGAAGTCAAAGAACTTGTTGCCCTCTTTTCCAAACCCCACTTTAAGGTGAAGAGTATTTCTTTCCATGGTGATGTGTTCCTGTAACTTCACACATGTGTGTCAATCCACCAGCCAGATCCTTTGACCACTCAAATCACATCATTTCTACCAAAAAAATACACCACTCAAAGACATTTAAAAAAACATATCGGCAAATACACGTTTGCTTTCTTGCCCAGAGTTAGCAGAGAGATTGATACCACTCTTGACCTGTATGATAAATATGAAGCTACAATCAGCAGACACTTAGCTTAGCTTAGCTTAGCTTAGCACTAAGACTAGAAATAGAGGGAAGCAACAAGCCTGGCTTGTCCGGGTCAAAAAGACAGAAAATACTCTAGTGTAAAAAGAATCTGCTCTGTTTCACTTACTTGCTGAGAGTTAGACGAGAAGGTCGATACTTCTCTCATATAATCATTAAATATGAAACTACAGCCAGGGAACCATTTAATTTAGCTCAAGGATTCAGAGCACACACAAACAGCTAGCTTAGCTCTATCTACAAGTTTAAAAAAAAAAACAGCTTCAGGGAGGAAAAACCACAATTTGTAAATTTCACACTTTGGTTTTTCTATGAAATAAACACGTCAGATGTTAATTAGTGGAATTTAGAGGTCCCAAAAGGCAGATATTATTATCTTTGGACAGAGCCAGACTAATGTTCCACCCTGTTTCCTGTCTTTATTCTATTTAATCTAACATAACATATTGCTCTTTTTATCTAACTCTGGGCAAGAAAGCAAATACATGTATTTCCCAACATGTTGAACAATTCCCTCAAGCGTCTTCTCAATCTCTGTAGTACTGCACACGCACACATAAACATGCTTCAAACTGTGCAAGAGTTCAGTTTTCTATCACTGAAGCGCATCCTGTAATTACCACTCACATGGACCATTTATGAAGCAAGAATGTAATTCACTCGGAAGATGATGTTTTGCTTCCTTCTACTTCAGTGCCCCAATGGATCATTAAAAATAAAAGAAACCTACTCATGAATGGTGTGATTACATGTTCAGTCTTTTTTCTTAACATAGCCAACACTATAACTGTAATCTGACAAACTAATTTCCATGCAGTCATGCTTCATCTGAGCTATTCTGATGCTTTTTAGGAGACTGCACACTTGCATGCACATCAAAAGGCGTGTAGTATTTTGTTTCCTGTATTTGGCTCTTATGTGGGTCACACAAATTGACAAATTAATCCAACTGTAAATTTTATTCAAATTAATTTCACCTCATCATTCTGCCCACTGAGAGGTGCTGACATCTATTAACCACACTGGCATTGAAGCTAATCTACTCCCTAGTTATGTTTATTAGTGTTCACTCACGTAGGGACCCAGACTACTCAAATGCATGTTTCCTTATTTTAGATCTGCTGACAGCAATATTTCAGACACACACACACACAGAGTATGGTTTTCCAGTGAGCTGTAGAAGTCATGGCTTTCCTTAATGAGGAGCTGAGGCCAGCCGAGAACTAACGGGTTGTTTAAACAGTCTTAATGACCTGTTTGTTCTTGGCCCTAACGCAGGAGCTCACACATACTTACGAGAGACTTAAGGTATAATATTCTGTAAATGAATGTTTGTTTTTTGAAAACCTGTCTCTGAAAGTGGCCAGAGACACATTGCTCACGCGTTGGCAGCTTCTGAGCAGAGCAACTGCTGATGGACACGGGGATAACAAGTAGACTAACTGACAGATGGATTGGCTGATTGTTAAAATTGAGTTGATGAGCAGATGTTTTCCCCCTCTTCTCATTCTTTCTTATTACAGAAAATTCCCTTTTTTTGGAATTATACTTTGTGCAGGCTCACAGTGAGAGATTAACGTTTATCCAGAATATTGTTTTTCTGCAAACAAACCTGGAGTTTGAACACTGCCAAAGTTAACAAAGAATGAACTTAAATGAACTGAACTGTCTGGGCATTGATAGTGAGTCATATATCAATTCACAGTCCTGTATTGGAAAAGGAGTTTGTGTCATGTTTGAGCTGAGCCAGTATGGCTGCAGGCAGAGGCACTGTTGGTAGTGCGGGGGGTTGCTTTCAGGTGGCCCACAGGCTGGCGGTTCATTCCAAACTAAATCAAATTTGGCATGTTGGCACGGGCAAAACTGAAGTTTTGTAACCAAGAAGAAAGTGCTGTGTTTGGATTCAGTCGCTGTAGTGAGTGCAGACAGGCCAACCAAACTCGCTGGAATTTTTGCACAGTCTCATTCACCACCCAGTCACCTTTAATTAGTCAACAGGGATTGGTTGCATTTTTGTTTGAGTACCTTTTAACCTTGCAATTACATTTGAATATCTCTAGCCTAACAACTTAGTCTATAAATGTTGGTCTAAACCTGCACTGGTTAAACTAGTGACAGTGGTTCTTCAGGTATGCTTTCATCCAAAATGGATGCCATTAAATGAACAGACTTTTGCAATGATTATGCTGGCCTTTGTTCACATTGCCAAATTCGACAGCTTGACAGCCAACCTTGCCAATTTCCATTGTGTTTGGAGTGTACTGCTGGCCTTAGACAGTGCCATTTTTTCTATAAAAAGTGAGACTTATTAGATGAGACTAACCAATGCCACATCTGTTTACAGCAGCTAGAATTCAAAGTGACTTACCTGAATGCAGATCGGCACCTTCACTGCCTTTCTGTTTCCTTTACAGAGTCTCCTGTCGGTTCATGATGCTGTAGCTCAGAGAGACTTTGAGCCTACTCTGCCACCAATACCTGATGACGTACTGGAGGAGGATGAGGACTCAGTCAAAATTGTCAGTCTGGTCAAAACCAAAGAGCCCCTGGTCAGTAAACAGGCATTCATGTTTCAAAGGTCGAGGTAAAAAAAAAAAAAAAAAAAAGATTGATATGGTACTACTTTTATGTCTATGGGCTAAATGTGCAGCTAAAGCCAGCAGGCCATTAGCTTAGCTTAGCATAAAGACTGGAAACAGCTAGCCTGTCTCTGTTTTTTTCATGTTCTCAATACTACTGGAATGAGACATAACATTACAACATAACATCTTTATGCTAAGCGAACCTAACCACCTGCTGGCAAAAGCTGCATATTTATTTGTAGTGTACAGACAGGGGCATGGTATCAATCTTATCATGTAACTCTTGGCAAGAAAGCTAATAACCATATTTCTAACTGTTCCTTTAAAAGCCGTAGCAGGAGTATAAAGACTGTAATTATCACTGAAAAGAGCTCATTTCTTCAGTTGTTACACATGATGACCCAGAAATAGTTTAGTTTGCGCTACAACATAAACATTGTTGACAACCATGTAACAGGGAGACTGCACTTAAACATTTGTAATTTGTCCATCCACAATATCTGACATACACATGCAGCTCAAAGCAATAAACTTATCCCAGGAACTGCGACTAAATTTATGTCATGTTGTCAAACACCGTGACTGCTAAAGTCACGTATGCCAAGGTGTAGCAGCAGGACTGCAGCCCCTGGAATCCTGCAGCAGTATGGATCCCCTTTGTGTCTGGCCTGCTGCTCACTTTCCTCTAAACAGGAATTTACAGAGTCAATTCTTCCACATCTCTGTTGCCATATATCTGCTGTGACGCACAACATTATTTCAGCATTGTTGTGTGTGTTTGTGTGTGCTTATTTACACATTCGTAAATGTGCAGTATATACGCTGCAAAACTGCACAACAGCCGCATTGAGTATTAAAATGGATTGGGATAATTTCTCTGCTGTTTCTGATGTAAACCAACTTGTTTCAAGGTCTTTAATCATAGCTCATTTTCTTGATACTACCGGAATGATCTGCCTTAGTCCACCTTCTTCCAAGCCATTGTCACTTATTTCTGGAAATTTCCTGGATCAAGTGAAACTGGACTGAAAATGGATAAAAGTACAAAGAGCGCAAAAGCTTTGCCAAGGCCACAAAATCCTCTAAATTTGTTATTTTAATAATATAAAAAAATCTGAATTTTTTTGATCTGTATCTGGATCATGGTCTCCATAAAATACATACAATGATGGACAGTTGTGGGGTACATGTGCCAGATTTCTTTCCACTCAAGTAGGTCCAGTAGTTCATTAGAAAATAGCACAAATGTTCAAAAACACCCTCACACACAAAGTTAAAATTCCTTTAAAACTATTTCCTGGACGCACTTAAAAAAATTAAGCATTTGTTTCTTAGCCTGTGGCCTTACTTTACCATGTAGCAACTTTTTGATATATCCTTCTAACTAAAAGATAAACAAACAGCAGCCAAAAAAATAAACCCCTATGGCTGAGAGGAGTTTAATAATTTCTAAAGGAAAATATGGTTTTAGGAGTAAATATAATAATAATTTACTTAATGATGGACAGTTTTTGCAGTGTGTGTATACTTGTGTGTTAGTGGTTGAGCTTTCAGGGGGGATGAATAATAAAAAACATACTTTTGTATTGATCCCAAAACTAGATTGGAGGGGGACTGACCTTTTTCTGACACGGTCTCTTTGATCGATCCAGCATGTTCCCGTTTTCCAGACAACAGGGTTACACCCGAGCGTGAGCTGATTGTAGTCAACTACATAAGATGCTCTTTCCATTGCGATTTGCTCCACATCAGTAACATCTGTTGAAAATAATGCTGATTTGGATAACCTTTTCCAGCGCTTTGTGTGTTACATGAAGGCAGCCGGCTAAATAGTCCCATCCTGATACAAAAAACCTTCCCTGGAATGAAGTGAATCTAAATAAGAATCTTGTCTGGACTGTAATAAAATCAACATGTTATTTTCACAGTCCACCGCTTGACCTCTTTGCCTCTGTTTGTCTTCTGTTTGTCCATCCACCTTTCATTCACTAATAACCATCTTCAAGGGGGCAACAATTAAGAAGGATAAATCCACTGGGGCGATTGTTGTGGCGAGGATCATGAGAGGAGGAGCAGCTGATAAAAGCGGTAAGTTGATAAACTCTACAGTTTTGTCCACTCTGCATTTCCTTGTATCTTTCCATTATGTTGTATTATTTTGATGATGCATAGTAAATATAAATGTTACAGAGAGGAGCATGTGGTATACATTTCCATATATATTTCCTACACTTTGAAGGCCTGATCCATGAAGGAGATGAGCTGAAAGAGGTGAATGGAGTCCCACTGGAGCACAGGAAACCGAAGGAAGTCCTTTCTCTTCTGGTTAGTCTTACCACCTCATTGGATGTCTCTGTTTGCTTCTCTCCTCTTGCTCTCACCTTTTCCTTTCTTCTTTTCAATGTTGTCGCTTATAGGATAAGGCTGATATAGTTGTCTTATCGTCAACAAATCTCTTGAGAAGAACAGTCAGTCCCTCAGCCAATACCTTTCAACTTCTCTATCATGTCTGTGGCTCTCAGCTCCGAACCTTTATGTTAGTATTGAAGGCTTAAAACATTAAAAACAGGTCACTACATATAAATATACTTATACTTAAGTTATTCCCTAAAATAGCTGGGCACTGTAGTTTTTATCAAATGCTACTCAAATTAAGTAAATAATTCATTTGTTTTGGACTATTTCCTGCTGTTGTTGTATACATACTCGATGCACTATTGAGCATGTACAGGAGCAGGATTGTGTATTTTGGATTGATTCGAAATTAACTACAGTGCCCATGTTCATGATGTCCCCCAGTGCAACGCTGTGGATCATTGATTGTTAAAATAGTTTTTGGACAACAATGGAGCTCTATGGGACAGAGGATATGTCAGGCCTTGGCTGCACAGACAGTCCTTGTTAGTAGAATCTGTTTTCTTTTCTTTTTTTGGGGGGGGGGGATTTGTTGACAGGAAGAAAACAGCCTTACCCTGTAAAAGAATATGAAGCTTCAGCCAGGAGACCTCAAATAGGGGAAAACAGCTAGCTAAACCCCCCCCCCAACCAACTAATAGTCATTTTCCCCTGGTTCCAGTCTTTATAATAAGCTAAGCTAATTGGCTGGTGGGTGTAGCTTCATATTTACTATACAGACATGAGAGTAGTATCAACCTTCTCATTTAACTCTCGGCAAGAAAGAAAATAAGAAGTTTTAATATTTTCCCCAAAATATAAACTGCTTCTTGCAACTGTTCTTGCACAGGCTCGTTCTCAGGGTGAAGTTCGATTCAAAATCATTCCTGCCTCCTCTAAGGAAGAAATGTCATCAAATAAGAAGAAGGTACAGTAAATATTAACAACACATATTCCGTGCTGTGTGTACTTTACGTTAGCATGCAATCTGCTGCACGGAGAAAGCTGCCCACCTGGTTTCAGTAAAAAGAGATGAAATCAGTGGTATCTTGTGTGTTTGGTTATATTTTGTGTTTTTGCCACAATGCTGTCACTGCAGCAGTGCGTTGTCAAAAACTAAATTCAAATCAGACAGTCAAGGATAAGACACTCGCGAACTTCACTACAATTTATTTCATTAAGCATTCATCACATGTGCTGAGCTGCATCAACTCAATTTAAAATTAACAATGAATCCATACACTCCTTATGTGGAAAAGTTCCACAATCCTCTTTGTTTAGGAAGAATTCTAGGTCATTACCACCACATACATGGAGTGGATGTCCAAGCTGGAAACTGTTAGAGCAGGGAGCATTTGTAAAGGATTAAGACAAATTATTTTCTATGATCATGGTAATTTCTCAAAAATGACACCAACATATGTGAAAAAGCCCCAGATGAAGATGTTCATTGCCAGGATACAAAGGAAGTTCACAAAGCTGCAGTAGGAGAGGAGAAGAATGAATTAATGGATAAGATGTGTATTTTCCTTGGTCACCTGTTTGTCTTTTTGTAGGCAAAAACATTAAATGATTTTCTTTCCTCAGCTGTTTTTGCGGGTTCTTTTTGACTATGATCCTGACGAGGATCCCGCTGTTCCGTGCAAGGATGCAGCTGTAGCCTTTAAAAGGGGCGACGTCCTCCAGATTGTCAGCATGGAGGATGACACATGGTGGCAGGCCTGTCACCTCGGGGACAGCAGCACTCGGGCAGGGCTCATCCCCTCGCAGCAGCTCCATGAGAGGTTGTCATTTTATGCTTTTTAGTCAATAGCAAAATGTTGACTCACTTGAGAGCATATCTATAAGCCTTTTTTAATGAAGTCCTTTTTTGATTCAGCCTTGTTTTATTTGGCTTTCTACAGGAGAGTTGCGCTACAGCGACCAAAAGCGCTGTTCAAGCCTCGACGAGTCAAACCTCCAGGTGATGAGCCCACGCTTACCCATAAAAACCCCACACCTGAAAAGAATAAAACCTTTTAACACTTTCCAATAAACATATTGGAGCTTCTTTTAGTGCAAAGCTGAGAGGTGACAGGTCATGTCTGAAGCTCACGGTCAAGGTCATGGTCATGGTTGAGCTCTGCTGCCCTCCTGTTGTACTCACTGCTTTTGTTTTCTCCACATGCTCCACAGATGAGGCGGAAGGTACTGTCTGTTTGAATTTACTGTTTGAAAACTACCTTCAGCATATTTTACATGATATGTTACACATTTATACTTTAGGCTTTGGTTTGGGGTTTTTAAAGATTTAAAGGGGTGAATTATCCAAAAATAATAATCGTGTAATGATCCCTGTACCACATTTCCAAAATAGAGAGGATTCTGTTAAATGTTCCTTTGTTGTAACTAAGCACGTTTAAAGTATCTGGCCTGCTGTAATGTGCTAGTTTTTCACGAGCAATCACTTTGTAAGAGTAAGGTAGTTATTAATATTTCTAAATTGTGGATATCATTTCTAAATAAAACTATTATTAGAATTTCCAAAGCAAAATATTAGGACATTTGGGTCAGAACATACGCTAATATTTGGAGTATGAAATTTCAGAGCAATGCACATATCATCCCCTTGTGGTTAGCGTCCACCATTTCCTCACTCTTTCCTCTTCTGTCTTCCTGTTTTTCCAGTCGTGGAGGATGTAGACTACGGAGCTATAACAGGGATCCACATTGGTGAGATGTTTGACTTTTCAAATCCCACTGACACTGGAAAAGGGACCAGTGTGATGAAAGACAATACAACACACATATATTGAATGTCAGCGGTGGCAGAAGTACTCCCAAGTGTGGACATACTATATTTTAAATAAAAGCCATGCATTCAAAACTCAAGTTTAAAGGTCCAGTTTGTAGGATTTAGTGGCAGTAGGTGCAGAGAGTTGCAACTCCCTTGTTTCACTCTCCCCTTCCAAGTGCGAAGGAGAAACTACGGTGGTCATGAAAAACAAATGCCTCTCTCTAGTGCCAGTGTTTAGTTTGTCCTTCCTGGGTTACAAAATATGATGGAGTATGGCAGACTCTATGGAAGGTGACCTGATTCCTACATTCATGTGATCATACGCTAATGAAAACATACCTATGTATTATATTCCATTTCTGCCAATAGATCCTGAGAAATGTTACACACTAGACCTTTAAGTAAATGTACAAAAGTATTTGCATAAAATATACTTCAATTCCAAAAGTATGCTGAATGTCCCAATGTCCCAATATATTTCTGCATTATTAATCCGAATCTGTAAAGTAACTGGTAACTAAAGTTATCAGATAAATGCAAGCATCAAATGGAAGTAAAGTACAAGCACCTCAATCTACTTTCATACAGTACTTGAGTAAATGTACTTAGTTTCTTTCTACCACTATTGAATAGATATTGAGCTTAGCAATAAAACTAGATAGAGAAAAAACAGCAACTAAAGGAGATCCTGGTTATATTTTCAGAACAAACCAGTTCATATGATGATGTAGTTTTGTGGTTTGGAGATTTGTGGGAGAGGACTGGAACAGCAAATGTGGTTTTAGCCTTCCCATTTATCCCATTTGTCTTGATCTCATGGATTGGATATGATGTGCTTGATATAATGTGTGTGCATACAGTATGAGCAGTGTAGGATGTTCATATGGGGCATGCACTCAAGGCTGATTGTAAAAAGGCTCCTTTACGTCTGTACAAGGCAAGGTAATTACAGATGTTGCATTATATCAGTTTTAAGAGTCATGTGCATTTAATAATCTGCATTTCATCTTATCTCAGGCCAGCTTCCACCTGAGGACGTGCGGTTCAGACTCTGTGTTTCCTCTTTGTCTGGCATGTAAGCCTTTATGCTGCACGACCAAATGACTTCATGCAGAGTAATCATAGGAGAGAGTGAGTGAAAGAGAAGGGAAATAGTGGAATACTATGTGTAGATACACGAGTCATTAAAGTCAGTAAAGGCATTGTGAAGAAGAGAAAAACAGGCCAACAGCTTGTACATAGAGGGCCTTCACTGACTGTGTTTTTAATATTGTCTGTGGTTATCTGTCTGGTTACAAGTAATAGTTTAACATTGTGCGAAATACTTTCTGCCTTCTAATATAAAAGAAGTTAATTAAAATCCCTCTCATAACTACCAAACTCCGATATTGTATGTGACTTATTAATGGATATTAGAGTGGTATCAATTTTGGTAAAACTGCATTATAAAATACCACTTTAGCACCCTAAATGGACTCAGTGTGACTATGATGCTTTATACTGAAAACTGCCGGTTGTGGCTCATATCATTTAATCTTGACATTTTATATGTGCTGCATGTCATCGCTCTCTACTCAGTCTTATCTCTACTCTCACCCTTACTTCATACTGTCTAGTGAAGCATAAATGTCTTGTAGCATTTCCAAAAAAGAACTAAGGTTTTATGGCTGAGAGCATTTTCAATTACAGATGAGAATTTCACTGCCAGAATTACTTAAGATTGACAATTACATAATGCTTCACTCTAGACCTTATTTCATTGTAGGAAATAAGATTTCTCTTTTGCTGTGTAACATTGGTTCATACAGTATGTATTACCCCTTCACATTTCTGAGTGAAATCATCAGTTTAAATTCCATGTAAACAAAAGTTTGAAATTTCTACTCATAGTGCCATGTTTCTTAGAATGAAGCCCGGAGAGGAAATGGACAGATATGCTTACAAAGTGAAATTACAGCTGACGTCAAAGAAAGCCTGGCAACATCACTTAGGAGCAGTTAACATCATGAAAAAGAGCGAGCCTGCCAAGCCAGGCTAGACCACAGTCGCATGGCAGACGCTGGCTGTCAGACAGCCTACAAGCGGCGCGTGACTGACTGAGTTGTTGTCTCTTGACGGAGATTTGTGCTGTTTAGGGTGTGCTTGACACCAGAGTTTGGGTGGAAGTGTTGATGGTTTGTTAAATGGTGCTGTACTCTTTCATTCCTACTGTAGCTTTCCCTTCTGCTGCGGCCCTTGTTGTCATCTGGGTATCACTGGTGCTTTTTAACAGTGCTTAAAAGTTCTAGTGTTCACACTTTTAATCAAGTGGAGTCCAACTTTGACTTTGCACTTGCTTTACAAACCACTTTAGCCTCTTTCAGCTTATCATTTTGGTTTTACGGCCCACAACTTTTTTGGTTAACTGTTCTCATCAACCTCATTTTCAGCCATAGCAGGCAACTGTTATTAGAGAAAAAGCTTTAAAACTGTATGCCCCACTGTATGCTACCTACCCATGGTAAAATGGCAGACAGAGAAAGTTAGCAACTAGCTAGAGTCAGATATTTTTTCAGGAACTGGTGGAGGCTAAAAGGAGAGTATATAATAGACTTACATGACTGAGACTTACACAGAAATGTGACTCCAAATGACTGCTAATGTTGTTCTGCTTCTTTGGGATGTGTAAATTAGTTGGGGACTGTTTCTTAACACATTCACCATACCAACTTTATAAGCCAATAATGTGCCAGGTATTGTGTTGTGCTGTATTTAAGTGGCCAAAAAATGAATTAACGCAGGTTTTAGGACTGTCATATTGAGGACGTCCTCCTGCTAGGTTTTCAGAAACACACCTGGCAGGTCTGAGGACTTTCTCTCTCTTTTCCAGCTGGTTTAAGAAGGAGTTTTCGACTTGGGAGAAAGAGCAGTTGGGCCAGAGAAGTGGCTCGCTCCAGGAGGTGGAGCACAGGGGTACACGGCTCCGTTCGACCCCCTACCTACATAGAGGTGATCCCCTATTACAAAGACCCCAAGGACAGACACCGTCTGGTCGTTCTGGTTGGTACGTATGAGCTGAACGTACAGCTGTGTAAAGAAGCGGGCAAGTTCCTATCTTGTTTGGAAAGAAACACAATGCCAAAAGCTTGTACATGTTTGTAACATTGCTATATAGCTCATGTTATAAAGCTTATAACACTGTAGTCACTGTGTGGTGATGTGCACAGTAATGCACATTGTCTTCTGTTTTATATTATCCCACTGCCTTTTTTGTCCATATAAAAAATCTAAATAACGTGATCCCATTCACTAAAAGGACAATATTATTGAAGCTGTTGTTGATCAAAAGAAAAAGTAATGCATTGATGAAGATTTATGTTCCCACTCTTGAGTGCAAGAACAATTCTTTCCCATCAGACCCATGTAAACACTGTCAGAAAAGTCCAAGTCAGAATATATTGTGTTCTCTTAAGTTACCTAGTGGCCCACCCCAGATCCACTTCTCTGCCAATCCTGCAGGCCTGCTCTATGTATTTTTCAGCTATATCTCTCCCCAGGGAATCTTACATTGAGCCCCGCTGAAGGTCTTTTTAATGTCATATTACGATACAACTGTAGGTCATCTGTGACCGAGGGAAATCGAAGAAAGAAGAGAAGAGGAGAGACGGAAGATGAGAGAAAGAAAATTGAAAGGCAGAGAGGAGAGAAACACAATGAACTGAAGAGGTGTAAAAACAAAACCAGCTAGAGAAGAGACAAATGATAGATAGATGTAGAGAAAAGGATGAGTGGATTGTGAATAAGATCCCTCATAATGTCAGCCAAGTGCTCCATCATCAAACTAGAACAGTTAAGACAGCTTGGATTTAGATTTAGACCTCTTTAATTGAGTTGGAGCTTACCCCGACTCTGGATTACGTTTTACTGTCTGCTGTGAAGGCTCTTCATTGACCGGAGGTCATCATTAAGAATATATAGCTTATTGGCAATGAGAGTTATAGACAGGAAAACCAAAACCTGGATCACAAAAACAGCACCAGCTGGATAACGTTTGACCAGGTTGGAAATATATCCTTTTTTGTTTGCATTGCAAATGCACTTTGAATGAAACAATAGACCGTTATGCCCCGGGAAAGTTGGTGAAAGTGACTGCCAGCCACTCTAAGCCCTACAGATCATGTAACTCTTGAAAAAAAAAGGTTAGAAGAAAGTAGCCTGATGATGCTCCTCTCCAGTTCTGTGCAGCAGCTGTGAAAGACATCAGCAGTGTAAGAGTGGAGAGTCTATAAACTTGATATTTTGTAATGTATCGAGCTCATGCAACGCTGTGATGGAAAAGGCAGGTATGTCAGGAATCCTACTTTGAGACGGCGCTCCATTAGAGTCTGATGCAATATGGGGCTGAAGAAACCTGCTTTAGAAAAGAAAAAGAGAAAATCCCAGATGCTGCAGCATGTGTGTGTGCTTCATCCTGTGCATCCTACACTATAATGACACTGATACTGTGTGGCTTTGCAGATGTCACATTTAGATGTGATGCTATGGATTTTCCAGAGGGTATAGGAGCCTCTGGTGTACGATAGAAAGACACAGGCAGAGAAAAAGAGCGAGGCTGGTTAGAGAATCATTTTCAGACTGAAATCAGTATGAAATCAGAGCTCTGTCTGTCTGACTCTCTCACTCCCTTTCTCCTTCTCTGATGATAAAGACAGATGTGTCACCAGATCACTAAACCTATTTGATGTTGGACTTGTCGTGAGGAAAACATTAGTACACACTGATATGAATACCCATGTACAAAACACAGTGTTTTGATCTTTGTCTCCAGGGCCCAACGGCGTCGGCGTTAATGAACTGAAGAGGAGGCTCTTGATATCCGACCCTGACCACTATGGCGTCACTGTACCGCGTAAGACAGACATCACCTTTACCTCCTGCACACACATCTCATCTTTTTCAAGCTGTCGTCAGCCTTCTGTCCTGTTCTCTTTCAGACACCACACGTGAGAAGAGAAGGCAGGAGAATGAAGGGGTGGATTATCACTTTGTATCAATTCACATGTTTGAAGAGGACATTCTCAATCATAGGTACTGTCTATGCAGATGTCGCTCCTGAGGTTTCCTTTCCCATGGTGTTAAAAATAGTCCCATTTACCCTCCCTTTCCACGAGAGTGATGTCCACCATTTCTATTGCTATTTGATTACCATTTTATACTGTGCCCTGTCTGTGTCTGTCCCTGTTTCTAGGTTTATTGAATATGGGAAATACAATGGACATTACTATGGAACAAGTCTAGACTCTGTGCACAGAGTGATGGCTGAGGGCAAGGTGTGCCTCCTGGATGTGCACCCTAGTGTGAGTATTATACCATCAAAAAAAAATTTTCTGTCTCTGGTTAAACTGGTGCTGAATACTAACACAAACAATTGTGACGGTTGCCTTTTCAGTAATGACTGTCAATGTTTAAATAATATTGAAGTTTCCTAGGGCCTGTTTTTGACAACTACAGGGTTTAATTCCTGGCAGTGGCGCCCACCGTCAAACACTTAATTGGCAGCGTTTGCATTGTGGGAAACCAGTGAGGGATCACATGCTACTGGTTTGTTAGGGTACCTGTGCAGAGGAGGGATGGCACAAACATCCATGTGTTACAACCTGCTAATGAAGGTCCCTGCAAACAAGTAGGGACCGGTGACTCCATGTGTATCAGAAGAAGCACATACTGTAGCAGTCTTCAATTAGTCAACAGGGGGAATTAGCAGTTACAAGTACTCTGATACATGAAGTGATTTTCATTTTAGGCTGTTAATTTGCTGCACATTATTGCCTGTACATGAAATACAGTTTGGAAAGTAATTTATCTTGGTTCAAACCAATCATTTAAATAATCAATTTTACTAATCATCTACACAGAACTGCCATAGTCATTTGCAACATTTAAGACGATTCACATTTAGTTTAAGAGCTCTTACAAGTGTTCCCTGTGCCACGTTTGAAATAATACTAGTAGACTCACACCATGTGTAGATCTCAAGAGGGAATTTTCTGTGTTTTCATGCCGAAGACTGATTGAACCAATGGGCCAATCTTCTGAAATCTTGTTTTATTCTTTTATTGTGTGTTGAGACAACATATTGTACCAATATAGTAATACTTACTTCTCTACCTTCATCTAACCTCGTGTTTTGTCTTTGTCACCACAGAAAATTAAGCATGTGTACACATCTGAATTCAAACCATACGTGGTGTTCGTGAAGCCCCCACGTATAGAGGAGCTACGCCTCACCAGACGGAGAACTAAATTCCTCTGCGGCGAAGAAGACAAGAACTCAGTCAGGATCTTTTCAGTAAGAGACACTATAACATAAACAGGCAAAACACATCAGGTATATGTGTGTAAAGTCAGGTGCTTGTTCCATGTCTTGTAACATGCAGGGCGGTGTGAGGGCAAACACCCTCCTAGCCTTAATTCTCCCTTACTCATGTGGACACCTTGCATTACACATGGTTGACCCTGTGGTTTGCGTTTAAGAGACGTTTAAGAGACAGGGGGAGTTACAGCTGCTTGGTGGGTGGCTTCTTGTTCCATAACGTATAGGTGAGTACATTTTGTCCGGAAGCTGGCGGGTTACATCTTGTGTGTACATGAGATGGATTGAAATAATGACTAAAAGAGGGCGGAATTCATTTTTTATGTTGCTATGGTTGGTTTGTGTTCACTTGTCTCAAAGTGGGAGCATATATGTATTTAAGACATGACAAAAAGATGCTAGGTCACTTTCATAATCCCCATCTGGCTTCTCATTCACTGTTTGACCCTAGCTGCCCATGTTGGACCTTATTAAACCCACAAGGTCACACACCTGTGTTGCAGCCTGGGTGGAGGTTGCCCATTGCCAAGCACCACAGCCCTTATGTAGTCCAAGCATATCTTATAGTGCTGCTTTCAACTCATACTACAGCTTTTGTGAAAAGGCCTCTTATCCTTTACTCTCAGCACGTAACGATGTGCTACGCCTCGGTCTGTATAGTTGAGTGGTCATGGGGATCCGTTCCATGTCCTGTTACGTTACAGTATGTGCAGATTATTGTAGAACTGTTTCTCTAAAGATGTTTTTTGTCACCATATGGCCAGGCTTTAGCCTTCCATCAACCGTATTTGTCAGATTAACAATGAAATCATCATTAATCAGTTCTTTTTAAGTGTTCCTTTAATATGCAGATTCTTTTCATCTTTTGCTTGATGGTTAATCAAAGGCCACACAATTCAAACAACGAAAAGAAAAGCTGAATAGAGCTGAATGTAGCATCTTGTTACTAGATTTCATTTACCCAGGTGTTCTCTTGCCACAGGAGGAGGATTTTGAGGACATGATTGACTTGGCTGAGACCATGGAGAGGCAGTGCGGTCACTTGTTTGACAAGGTGATTGTTAATGGCGATATTGCGGTGGCGTTCAGAGAGCTGAAGGCAGACCTCAAGAAGGTAGAAGAGGCAGAAGTCCAGTGGATTCCTGCAGAGTGGATTTGCTCCTCACCAACAAAAGCACGGAGAAGTTGTGGTCACTTAGACAGCTGGATTTGAACATTGAACTCACAAAGAAAGAAAAAAGAAAAGAAGGACAAAATAATTGTATGTACAAGTTTTAATTTTTGTCATATTTTAAATATTTTTCCATTTGTAAACAAGTCCTGTGATTACCACAGTTTTCCATACTGTCCCTTAGTGTGTATCTAATTAGGCAAACAGAATCCATCTCTCTCTCCCTCCGTCTGTCTCAGAGCCAGTTTTTCTGTTGGCATTTGGCTGAAGAAACGTCGGCTCGCAGGACACAGAAGAAGAAGACGAAGAAAAAAAGAAAACTCTCCAGAGCTTGTGGCTAAGTGTAATCTTTCCCTGCCAAGTCGCAAACATCAGCATGTAATTATTCTGACAGCTGCTGCACTTCAATTAACTGTAATGTACACCAGAGAAATATTATTAGTAGCAGTCAGGGAGACATTTTGCCAACAACATGCTGTACAAAATAAGGACACAAACAAGATAACAATTAGACTGTAGATGAAGAAGTAGGAAAACCTGTTGTATGGCTGTAAGATATAGAATTGTGCACATATTGTTTATGAGGACTTTCTACAATTATTGTAATAGTCACTGTCGAAACTTGAATATTTTTAAGGCTTGAATTTGTGTATTTTTAAGTACCCTACGCTGACAATAAACTCTATTATGGACCATTAATTATGAAGTCTTTTTTTATACAAAAACATACTGAGGCAATTAAAAATAATTGGCAGAAACCCACCATTAGTGACACCACATTAATAAATACTCATATTTGAGCATCACAGCTGCCTGTCGGCTGCAGATTCCACTGTTCTCCTTCACCCAAGCTGCTTAATCTAATTCTTTTTAATGGCTGCATTCCTCTACATTCATGGTGTTTCCTTCCTCTTTTTGGATGCTGTGCTCAATTGGGTGTGAAGGAGTGTTAATGTGTCTATCATGTCGTGTTTGGGAGGAAGAGGGAGCTGCATGATGTGGGGAGTCCGTAATGGCTTTCATGGGACTTGGGCCTTCGCAGAAGTACAGAGATAAAGTTACGACCACACATAAAAGCATACTGTAAAAGCACAGTGAGGCTCTACATGGTGGATTGTGCTGCAGGGATGAAGAGCATGCCTTTTAGTTTCAGGTATTTATTTTACTTTGGCAGGCTCGGTGTCAAACAAAACTGAGAACACAAAGAAGACAGTGGGGCAAATGGATGAGTGCAGATGCACTCATTGGTGTGTTTACATGCCTCCTGATCACCAAAACACACAAACCAGACTGTCAGGACAACAGTCACACTTCTGCCAGGCCTGAAGCAAGACCTCAGCCAAAGCGTGGCAGTATAATTTCATAACACCACTGAGAATCTGCAGGCACCCTCTGAGATCATAACGATGCCATTTAAGACACCGGAGTGATCCAATGAAAACCCACCGTTTAATGTTCACTACAGCTCCCACTTCAAACATTACACAGAACTATGATGTCAATTGGTCTTGGATAATTTGGCTCAATCATGTAACTGTCTATTTGAAGTATGTAAAAATAAATATGACTGATGTGAAACAATATCTTCACCTCTGCATGAGATATTCATAACTTTTAAAAAACCAACACAGTAAGATATATGCTGAAAGTATATTGGGGTTGATTATACGAACCTAAAGCAGGAAGGGGAAAAGGTTTTTGGTTCATTACAGAGTACTACAAATTGAACGAATCGTCAACAGATTCCTGTTTGCTAATGTTGATGCATTAAAGCCAGACTATGCAGCTTTAAAGTAATAACACAATCTTCCTCTTACAAATAGAAAGTTTAATTCATAAGCAATAAAACAAATGGGTTTTATCAGCCTTACTTGGTCTGGTGTCACCAGGAACTTTTATGGTGGCTAAATTTAGTTAATGTTAGCAAACTTAGGATTGCTGTAGAACTAACATTACCCACTGCGCTCATTGGCTTTATGACACAGTTGTCTGTGACATACTAACATGTAGTTTAACTTTTAACTGTTATACTTCAAGCTAGCAAGCCAGAGAGAAACATTTCACTGATTTTATTACAAAAGTAAAACAAGAAGTGAACACACGTACCTGACGTCACCAGAAGACATGTTTTCTGCTTGTGGTCGATTTGCTGTCAGCTGTGATGATGTCTTTATGTCACATTAACTGATTTTCTTTTGGCCACTTGGGGCAGCGCAAAGCAATAAACACAATATTTACATTTTTTTATTATTATATTGAACATGTTAGCCAAGAATTGTCTATTCATCGAGACATAGAGCAACATTAGAATTCTTTTGAAATGTTTTTTTTACCTAATGTATGTATACTATTCACTTTCCTTTTAGCTCAGTTTTTTGTCTACACCGACTCCTGAGCCAGATATATGATTCTCTGATGTTATGTTCACCAGTTAGTTGTTTGGTGCAGTTTAGGTAGTATACAGTAGGTTTATCAGAGCTTTTTTGCTTTAAAACAGCTGCATATGGAAATTATAAGAGCAGTCAGAGTGGAACAAAACTGAAAAGTTGTGAGTCATAAAACAAAAACAATGGGCTGAAAGACGCTAAAACACTTCATAAAACTGAGAGTAGAGTTGACCGATAATTATCTGTGGGTTTGTCACTACAACACCTCTCACACAGTCATTTGATCCATTGCTAATATGAAAATATAGATTTGTGCACCTTTAAAGCAACCAACTGTGTGGCAAAAGTAACAAAGTCTTAGTACGTACAGCAGCAACATGTAACAGCATGAAAAGCATTCCACAAGTATGATTAATAATCCTCACTTTGATTCTACTGAATTAGGAATGATGCAAGATCTAAATCTGGTAAATGTTCACGATATTTGAGGATACAATCAGTTTCTCCAACACACATTTTGCAAGATTTTTGGCACTTTGGATAGGCCTGGAATTTGGGAACCTGCTAGATACACACACACACACACACACGTACACACACACACACACACACAAGTGCCAAACTATCCAAACAAAAAGAGATATATGTCCTCCCGCAGTGTTTTTTACAGGTCTCCTGGCTGACGAATGTAGGTGTGTTCTCAGCTAATATCAACAGTTGAGACGGTGAACATATCACAGAGGGACAAGAGTAAATGGTGTGTGATAGCGTGTAGCATTCTCCAACCACTGCTGAGGAATGTGAGCAAGGAATTTACTGCACCTAACGGGGATGATACTGCTCCATGTGTTTTTCAGCTCTGAAACCATTGAAACTCAACCTCCCCACTGATACTGCTGAATTATAAACAGGGACGAGTTATGGAGTCCTTTAATGTGTTTAACGGTTGAACAAGTGCTGCTCGGATTTTAGCCATAACCTTAAAAAGTTTCATCATTAGGCAGGAAAAAACGCCATTTTATCAACCGACGTTTGCTTAAAGATGATTAAGTTATGAATTGTGCCAAGGTAAAGTCATTACTGTAGATCCAAACAGTCTTACATAGGAGGGTTGTGGATGTCAAGAGGAAAAACATACAAGGGTGACAGCTAAAGTTTAACCACTGAGTCTTCAAATACTGGGCCCAGTGCCCACATATTGTCATATAGTTACACTAATGACAACACTAAGCTTCTGTCAGACACAGTCTTTATAAGTGTTCACAGTCCCTGTTGCTCCAAAATGGAGACAAACATGAGCATAATGGGTGATTATCCCAGCGCACACTGCAGACAGTGTAAAAGATGCACAATTCTGTCACTCAAATGCACATTCTAACACACTTTCAGACTCAAAAATCTGTCAACTATATGTGCAACACTGGCTCGGGATCATATAGGCAGGGATCAGTTTCATTTTCCAGTGTTTGTGTTGACTTCATTATGAGCCAATTTGTACTGAAATCCATTTCTACTCAGCAGGATCCACTGCCTAACACGCGGCACAGTTTGGTGGTTTTGCTGGTTATTAGCAACCGTGTAATTACACCCATAAATTTCCAGAATCCTCTGGTGAAACATGTATTATTTGCTGACACAATTTTTGGTAAAACCACGAGAGATTCATATGCCTCATGTAGAAAATATGAGAGCATGTCGGACTGCTTAGCACAGGCTGCAGTCACACCAGAAAAAATCTCACTAGTAAATCTAATGACCGCATTTGCCGATATTCTTACATGTGCAATATTTTTCATATGCTGGGGTGCTACTGGGGCTGCTGCTCCGCAAGCTTTTCCTCACAGAGCTCTCCAAAGAAGTGATTGGACGTCGAGAGAGCCAATAGGCGGTGGAGCAGCAGGTTATTTGAACTCTCCTCACACAGCTCAACTAAACCAGACAACATCTCTGACTTTTCAAACATTATTCTCTCACAAGAGTCTGTCACCATCAGGACTGCTCAGTCCCTGCTACTGTGAGCACAGGAAGAACAGCGAGGAACATTTTTTTAACCCTTTTTAAAATTCCCTTTACATCAAGTGTGTCCAGGATGGGAACCTGCTGCTTCTATTTACATCTGGAAGTCTACTGATGCACCTGTTGATTGAGGGAAAACTCTGTGTTTAACAATGAACAAAGTTGCTGTGATGAAGTCTGACACTCTGCTTCATTTGGAGGACAACAGGAGAGTAGAAGAGAGGAGCAGACTGGACTGTGTAGACTTACCTCAGAGCAGTTTAACAGATGGGGACAACACAGACCTGCTGCGATGCCAGGACACCACTGAAAACAGCTCTCCTATCAAGTACAAAAGATATGGGTACGCCCTTTTTGTCTGTGTTGGAAATATTTTTTTCATGGCATGATGAACAGTTAAACAAGGTTGTATTTTGTATTGCAGTTGTATATGTATTCTGTATGTACTGTATCTTAAGGCACTTACACTTAAAAAGCAGTATTTCAAAATCATATCAAATAAGATAATGCTCTAACCTTACATTATATGTATCATGTCATACATTATGTAAAGGCATTACATACATAGTTCAATAGTTGTTTGCAGTTCTTCACACCTTACAGTTACAGACAGAAATAATTTAGCATCATGTCCCATGTATAAATGTTATAGAGGGGATTGTGGGTGGCCTTGTGAATCTATTAGACACTTTCTGATTCCTCCAGGTCTCGTCTGGGTGGGGTCAAAGTTCGCCACAAGAGACAGGTGCTGCAGGACATGGCCCGGCCACTGAAACATTGGCTGTACAAACACCGGGACAACCCTTACCCCACCAAGACGGAGAAGGTCCTGCTGGCCCTGGGCTCACATATGACACTAGTGCAGGTGAGAGAGCTGATGGTGGAAGGAAGGAAAAGCAATTTCAGGGATGTGTTGATTATGAAGTTAGTTAAAATGAAGCCAGTGCTGTCTGGTAAAAAGGTGCATCTGTGCAGGTTTCGAACTGGTTTGCAAACGCCCGGCGGAGGCTGAAGAATACAGTGAGACAGCCAGACCTGAGCTGGGCACTAAGGATCAAACTGTACAATAAATACATCCAGGGAAACGCTGAGCGACTGAGCGTGTGTAGTGATGACACTGACTCTGATGGTACAGGCCACAATATATAAGTTCATCACTTAATTATCAGAATTATATAGATGAAATTATGAAAAGATTTTAAAGAATCATATGATTGCTTCCTTTGCTGCAGATGAAGAATGCCCCTTACAAACTCCTATCAGCCAATCAGACTTTGGCAGGTCATCTTCCCACAAGAGCGTGCTCCAGAAACAACGCAGTGTCCTCGCCATGGCAGACTCCGCCAACAGTGACGACAGTGCTTCGCCTCCATCCAAGTACAAAAGCAGTTTACTGAACCGGTACCTGAACGACACCCTGCGACACATGATGGCGGCGAAGGCTGAAGCCGTCACCTCGTCCCGCAAGAGGAGGAGCCACTCTGAGTCGTTCAGCTCCAATGAATGTGATCGAGATGTCGTCTCCCCGGCTTCGTCCTATGAGACTGAGGCCAACTTTGTCTACCACATGGGTGAGAGATGTCAGTTTTTGCCACCGTGCAAGGCGATATCGCACATTAAAGCAGTTAGAGGAGAGGAAAACTGTGCTTTAACTCCAAATCTGCACTCAGTATGTGGAAATAGAATCAGATAGATATAGAATAGAAACACTCAGATTATACCTAGAATTATGGCAAGTTAAGCAATCAAATACAACATTGGGAGGAAAAGAGATGATAGCACCCCCTGTCCAGGGAAATCATTAAAGCATCGTCCTTGTTAATTGTAGATTTATGTTGAATGTGAGGTAAAATGACACTTTAACTACCCTGCTTCCCCTCAGTTCATTTTTAACACACCGCAGTGTACAGTAAAATAAGAACAGACTGAACAGAAACTTCCACATGGCTCCTCAGAGCTCCCTGACATTAATAAATCTCTGGCATTCCACTGAAAGTCAGAAGCTCTGCGAGATTCAATTATAAAGTTGCAGCGAAACTGGGAGGGAGTTTGACACCTGGGTGCCCTTTCAGACCTATAGGGAGACCAGCACACTGACAACCCTCAAATCCGCTAAGGTACTGGAGCCAAAGCCTTTACAAACATTACTAATAAAGACTCATGCAGACGCTGAAATCCCTCATTTTAAAATTGGATGGAGCTTGTGCTGGCTGCCGTTGCACACCGCAAATATCATTTCCATATACTAGAATGTGCCATTTGTTCCGCTTCAACTTCTTGCCATGGTGGAAATGTCCAGTCCAGTCTCAAGGACAATTACAGAATGTCTGAGACTTTATTCTTCCCAGGGTGAGAAGTGGAAAGCGCAGCCAAATGTAGAAATGGAGCAGTCTGTCAGTAAAGCACTGAAGACGTCTCGTAGAGTGACTGTCAGAGCTGCCACTCAGCTGTGAGACAACACAGGGCAAGATCACTAATATCCATTTGGCTTTTCCCATCTGTGTTAGAGGGGACAGCTTTACTTCCTTGACTCGTGTGTGCTTTGGCAGGCTGATCCTCCAGAGTGTTACTTACCTACTCAAAATCAATTTAAATTTATATATCATCAAGAGTTGTGAAAAGATTTCTGAAACCAATTCTTCTCTTTAGTGTATCTTACAAGTTTGACACTCAAATTAAACAAGGCATGCTTTAAGTTCCTTTTATGTTATTTTAGAACCACTTTCCTGGAAAACACTGATTCCTGGTCCCAGTCTCAAGGTTATTTAATGGATATTTTTGTAGTCTGTGACAACGCTTAATCTGCATCCGGGAAACTCAGTTTAACCTCTAATTGGCCTGCAGGTTGGTAACTTGAATAATTTGGATAATTCATAATTTTAACAAGCTTGTAATATATATTTAAACAAATAGTGAACCAGTGAAATTGTATATTGTATGAAGCATCCTGTCTTGCTTAAACTGTTAAACAATGGTAACATTTTACAGATATTTTAATTGCCGTTTATATGAATTAAACAATGATAATACATTTTCATCTTTTCATTTGACTTTGATTTTAGGGAATAGCTTGACAGTTTGGGAAATACACGTATTTGCTTTCTGGCCAAGAATAATATGAGAAAACATCACCCACATGTCTGTACGCTAAATTATGAAGCTACAGCTAGCAGCACTGTCAACTTAGCTTAGCACTTAGACCGGAAACGGGAGGAAACAGCTAGCTTGGCTCTGTCCAAAGGTAACACAATCTGCCTATGAGCTCTTCTGAAGGACACTTTAAATCTGTTTGTTTATTCCGTTTAAAGATTGAAGTTTAAAAACCTCAGGTTGAAAAACCTGAGGTTTTTTACAGGGGGTTATGCGCGAAGGAAAAATAAATTAAACATAACATGTTAATTAGTGAGCTTTAAAGGTGCCAGGCTAGCTGTTTCCCTATTTTCAGTCTTTATGCTAAGCTAAGCTAACCATCTGCTGGCTGTAGCTTCATATTTAGCATACTGACATGAGTGGTATCAATCTTCTCATCTAGTGCAAGGCAAGAGAGCAAATAAGCACATTTATGTGAATGTTACACTGTTCTTTCAAACATGTTATTACTTTCTTACCTAAAATCTATTTCTGTTGGAGTGTATTATGAGGTTTCTTGATGTCATTACACACTATCCGGGCAGTGCTGTTGAACTGTTTGTGCAAACGTTTAATGTATCCCTGCTGGTCATATTAAGGGTGTTTGCAACCCAGTACAGCTCCTCTGTGGAGGTGAAGTGGAAAGTCAAGCTGCCAGATTCATGACAGACACTAACACCATTAACACGTTTATACTCTGCCCGGGAGATGGCTAAAGCAGTCACTAAACCTCAAGTGATGGACTAATAAGTGATGCCACTACACAGTGTCTTACAAGGACACTTTAAACATATCAGTCTGGAACCCACAGGCAGTAAAAGTCTAATGGAATAGTATATGTTAATGATGTTACTATTTACTGTACAGAAATGTGAGGCTGGTTAGACCATATAATATGGTACTTGCATCAACTTCAGTGTTTCCCTTTAAAAGGCTGGAGAGCCATAAATGTGACCAGAATCATGTTTTATTGGACGCAGAGCAGCGAAAAACATATCTGGACAAACGCCTTGCTGCGTTTTCCACCCATTTTGTTTCAAATAAAAATAGGCATGCTGAGAGGGGAGTCTCTTGTTCGCAAATACATATCCCCATTGATGAAATATGGTGTTATAATATTTTCTCAGAACTTAGTTGTTTTCCAGCGTGGATCCCAAGGACACACCTGTGAGTTGACTGAAAGTCACTGACTTTGGGTCATGAGGGAATTTAAAGAGATATTGTGGGCGGACATCCAAGATTTAAATCAGCTCATGTAGACAATATTTCATTGTGAGTGGGTTACATGAGATAAGATTTATGATAATAGTAGAAAGCTAAATACCATAATATATGTGTGTAATATATGTTTCGTACAAATTCAAATACATTTCACTTTCTTGCAAGAGTTAGACAAGAAGATCGACACCGTCTGCATTATAGTAGTCCATTAAATAATGAAGCAGTTTTCGTGTGTTATGCTAAGCTAAGCTAAGCTTGTGGCTCATTGCTGTAGCTTCACATGGGAAATTGAGTACTTACCATCTAACTCTCGGCAACAAAGTTAATTTCCCAAAATATCAAGCTATTCCTTATTTCTCAACAAATAAGGTTAGATATGAGCTCTAACATTAAATTATACTGCGCCACTGCAGTGCAACATAATATCTAAAAAGCAGTCAGCAACTTCATTACTGCTCTAAAATGTTGTTGTAACTGATCCCTGTTGTAAATATGAGACTCACCAGAGGTAAAACAATGTTTTTACTTGGTAATAAATACAACAGAGGTATTGAAGTACTTTCTTGGCAAAGCGTGTTATGGCTAAAGAGAGAAATGCTCAGGGACGTTCAGTAGCAAGAAAGCATAAAACAGCTAAATGATTTACTATCAGTAAGTAGTTGCTCTTGGCTCCAGCCTGGCTTAAGAAATCAGAGACAGGGATGTTTCGGGCTGTTAGCATTGAAAGACTGTGTTTCACAGTGGGCCTCTAATTTCCCTGTCTATTGCTCTCTGAAGAAAAATCTTGACCAGCTTCTATCTGCTCCAATGAAAAAGGCAATATTCCAATACTGAAATGGAAAATATGTTCTACATATAATGCACGCTTATGCAGACCACAAACAGAAATTGCGCAGGCAACATAATATTCCTCCTGCTCCTGCTTCTGAAATAGCCAGAGATACTGTAGTTTCATTTCAGAGCATTGTGAGATAAAGACTGACCCTTCTTCCACAGATGTAGAGAGGTTCTCTGGTATTCCTTCATTAGAACCCAACCCCTCCCCCCAAATCCCCATGGTTGGCAAAATTGAACCAAGTGCTGAGGCCTCAAAAAAGATGGAGATGTGCAGGGACAGCTTTTGGAAAAGAAATGGCACACAATTGACTAACTTTACAGGTGCTAGCAGAGCTGCCAACTTAAAAACGCAGTATCAGTCCTCATGACACGATCAGATTCTCTGCACTGCATTTGTTTTGGCCAGAGTAGCTGAGCACAGGCAGACTGGTGCACTTGCACGGTGCACGTGAGGACCCTTTGGCGTGCGAGGCTGGGTAGCAGTGGACAGGCGCATAGGTGAGAGCTGCGTACAGGGGACCAGAAGGGTGATGTGAAGTAGTTGGCAGACACGACACGTACCACAAACTTGCGATATGCACACATAAATGACCTCACACACATGCGGCAAATTAAAAACTCCCATACAATACTAAGTATCACTAACATACAGCCATAAAGTATAACCCAACACTGATTGTCCTGTGAGTATTCCCTGTTTGCAATTTCACTGCTATCAAGTAAACTGATTCATGGATTTAGGTGAGTCTTTTTCTTCTGTCTTGCAGATACAATGGACTATCCTTCAACTAAATGTGACAGGTAAGTGTAATTATGCATTGCTCAATCTGCAATCAAATCAGCTGTTTGCACTTTTAAACTTTAATGATCGTGAAAATTAATACTATTTATAATCACCTCTTGGACGTTGTTCTTGAAATTGGACCACCACCTCTAATTCATCCATATTATTCTGGCTTTACATCAAGAAAAGATATCCAAGAAAATGCACAATTTCTGCTTTAGATTTCTAGAATTGCTTCATCTGTTTTTTCCCCAGGTTAATTTAGGAAAGAGGTGTGGTGATATTCAATAATCCACTTCATCTACAGCTGTTTCTCTTTAATACATTCACAGGGACCAGCAGCAGGACCGAGGCCAGCAGAGACGAGCCGGTCAGGGCTGGAGGGAGATCCACGCCGCCGTGGCTCTGACCAACTTGGCGCAGGGGCAGAGCTGCACAGCCGACCAGAGCGGTGTGACCGTGCCCAGCGCTGGCACAACGCAGAGCTGCACCAGAGAGCCCTTCTCAGTAACGAGGACCACTATCATGGACAGGATGTGTGTCACAGGACCCACCTCTGCTCTGAGGCAGAGCTGCACCGCGGGGCCCGCTCTCACCAGCCGCATCATCCAGAAGTCCTCTCATATCTCTGAAGTCCAGACTGTTAACGTGGCTCTGGCAAACAGTGTGTAGGCATTTGATTTAAGCATCTGGTCCTAGCACATCATTCCCTATAGGAATACCAGATGCTTAAGTGCCTTGCAATATATGTACAGCCTCTGTTATTTTGTAATGCTGATAAACTCATTTTTTGTAATGTAAAATGGAAAAACTGACCTTACACAGTTGAATATTTTCTACTGTTTTTGCCATGTTTCTAATGTCTTCCTATTGCCGTCTGTTGCAGTAAGTTATATTAACTTCCACGAGACTGGATTATCATCCAATGCTTAAGTTTGACAGCAGCTATTTGAATAAACCCAATGTGAAATATTTTGACCAGTCGTTTGCTTTGAATCCCTCCTTTGCAGTGGCTGATGCTGCATAGTTATGTTTCACTGAACTGTATTTAGTGGTAGTTTTCATGTGTGCAACTGTGGGTCTCGCAGTTTCATTATGTGCTTTTAAATTGCTTTTTAAAAGGTTGTATTATGGGCAGAAGGGTGGCATCCTGAACTGAGCAGGGAGGCCCTTCTTCAAGCAGAGCACTGTGGTTAAAGTTCTTCTGATGAGCCTCGATAAAGCTAAAGAAGGATTCACAGTGACACGAGCAATGTTTTACATTTGTTGAAATAAATGTCAGTACATCAGCACCATGTCCACGAAATATGAAGGTAAAACGGCTATAATCAATTATTTTTTATGTTTAAATCAAATGTGCTTGTGAAATGGGTCGCTTGTTGTGATGAACTACAGAGAATTATCACCGTCGATTACTGCTTATTCTCGCCTCCAACTTTTTCGCGTTAGTGTTGATTACGTTAATGTGCTTTGGGCTTTCTGGCCCCACAACTTTGAATGTTTTGGGTTCACTGTCAACCGCGTCTCCATACTGTGATATCGAGCCACAAGAGCAGCCTTAACTGTTTCCCAGAAAAAAAAGATAATATACTCATTGAATGTAGCATTTGGGAAGTGGCTCAAATAGTGTAACCCTTCAGGACTTTGGTGGAGCTAAACAGAGTAATCTTGCGACTTTCATCTGTCGTCAGGTCACAATGACACTAGTGTGTGCTTCCATGTGGGCTGTATTTCTAAATTAGGCTACCTGCTAGTGCCCGTTCACCAAGTCAAAAAGTCTGTGGACCATCTTTTTCAGCTCGTTTCACTAAGCTGGGCCAAGAAGTCAGAGTTCTTATGAAATTGTGAATGCACTGTAACGATTCCACTAATACTTTGTTGACGACTAGCCTGTCGGTGCATGCCGAAAGACTGAAAACATTCTTTGCACAAAATTGGTCAGAGAAAACAGACAATAACCGGGACACGAGTGGGATTGAAAGTTCCTGTTAAATATTGTTTTGGTAAAAGGTAGCCCCAGAGCAGTCATGAGTGTGACTTGAGCAAGCTTTATGTTTGTGTCAGGAGATTGTCCCTCAGGATGGAACCAGGGACGCTTTCCCCACGCAAGTTCGTCTCCCCTAGACTAGGTGCTCCCGTACAGAGGGCAGAGTAGACATTCCCCAGAGGCTTATGTGCTCTCTTATTTCCAAGTAATATTCAGTTTGTTTGTCTGACCTCCAGTATGAGGTCAAGAAAGATTCTAAGATGCTCCATTGGGTCATTATGTCATTTAACATCAAAAACAAGATCGACCTTTGTGTGTCTCACTGCGGGGATTATATGAGATGTTTTCTGTGAAAAAGTACCAGGAAAACATTGAATTTTTGTTCTTTCAGACATCACATGGAGAAAA